GCGCACTTATTTCATCCAAAATAAGTTGGGTTAGTTTTGTCTGGTTTAATTATGACTCCGCGGTCCAATGCCCCTTTTTAGTGAATGACCGTTCATTATTATCTTCTCATCGAGATACTCATACCTAAAACATTTCACTCTGATCGAGTTCCTTTGCCTATTCAATTTTTCATCCAAAATAATTTGGGTTAATACTATGCGTCCCGATGTAAGTTTTCGTTCGACGACTCAATGTTGGATTCGTCTTTATGATGCAATCATATATACCCATGAAGTAGCCTAATCAGAGTTCATCTACCCATTCAAATTTTCCGTCCCAAATAGTTATATATTCTATGTTTGGACTAATTTCAGTGTCAGCGTCCCAAATAGTTATATTCTCAGATGCCCGTCAATATATAACATACCTTTTTTCTACTAGAATGAAATCAAACAGTACAAAAAAACATTTTATTTTCCCATAGACCTTAATTATGTGCAATTAGATACTCTCTTATGAAAGACTATTATAGTTTACATAACCTGGAAATATTCGATACACCGTCCTCATCGTTAGGATCGAATTTTTCGATGCATTCATCACTTCCCGTCATCTCTTAACGAGACTCCTCTACTCTTTAAATTAACATATACGTGCACAACTAATTAGGTTAACAAAAATGGAAAGATGGCTTACCGAAAACGTAGATGAATGAATGGTTTATATTTTTGATATCAATACCTAAAAAACATTAATTGGGCAGTGTCTTTTGGGTACAAGTTTAAAATAGCCAATAGGGAAACATTTCTTTTCTTGCACAGGACTCCGAAGGTGACTTAGAAATAGATATGCAGCTTGGCTTTTGATAACAATATTTCTCTTCAAATTTCAACTAGTGTGTATCCCGTGCGATGCACGGGTAAACAATATTAAATATTTATTATAAATAAGTATCGAGTTCGAGTCACACAATGCAAGAAGTGGGGAACTACTATCAATCTTCTCTTAAAAGAGCAAAAAAAAAAAATAAAGATGAGGGTAAACGATATTAAATAATAAATCAACGATGTGGGGTTAACATGTCAACGATGTGGGGGTTAACATGTCATACAATTTATTGTATATTATTTTATTATAAACGATATAAAATTAGCTTGTTCAAAATAACATAAAATTTGTATGTTGAAACAATTAAAAACTCCTAACATATTAG